AAATTGACCGTTAAATGCGTGTTCGATGTACAAGATGCGAGTGTTATGTCTGTTTGTCTATGGTTCGATGAAGATTTGCAGGTTTTCAAAAGATATTGTTTTCGTTCTTAGTGACCTTCATGGCCAATAAAATGCTCAATTTATTTTTCAGAGGGCTAATTTTATACGTTTCTTGCTCATTTCTTATTTTGGACTCTTAGGTACTGATGCAACATGCAAAAAAATTTTGGCATTGCTGCCGTGTGGCATTTTTTCGCAACTTGTCATGGAAAAGGCCCTATGGGAGGAGTATTGAAACGAAACGCTTTAAAATTTGAGTATACGAAGGGAAAGGTAGGATCTGCAATGTTTAAAACTTGGTCTACGTGGTTTATGGACGGCCCGCAGGTTGAACTGAATGTTGCACCCAGCTTGTAAGTTACTCATAGATTTCATTAGTCACAGCTGCTGTGACTCGATGGAGACACATTGTGAACTACCTTGCGTCTTCATCGTTTCCATGCACGTGTGGTGCATATATTGCGGAACAATAATTTTTTAATTTAAAAAAATTGTATCTCCAAAACTGCTTCTTCGACATCGCTAATTTTTCAAAATGTTATGTAAAATTAAATGATCTTTCAATTAAAAATACTAAAATAAGAAGTTGTTGAAGACCCTCGCAGTGAAAATCAAGAAAAAGCATTTGTAACATATTTTTTTCCTACAAAATCAAATATGTCTGAGTGTTTCATAATTTTTCTTAAAACTACATTAAAACAACTTTCATTTGAAGGGTCAATCGTAAAAATCGGTCAAGAGGTTCAGAAGTTATAAATTTTTGAAAAAAGACATTTTTGAAAAAAAAAATATTTTTTGGACCACCTTAACACGGAAATGGTCACCCTAATGGCGCAATAAAAAAATACGAGTCTAATATTTTTTGATAAGGAAGAACTATACCAATTTTCATGAAATTCTGAGACCCACTATAACTTTTTTCTATGGAATTGCTGTATAGATAGATTGCGCAGTGTTCGTTTTTAATTGCTCATTTTTACTTTCCTGCATGAATTATTTTCTTTTCTTTAAGAACGATTCATATTTTACGATGGATCATCCTCAAGTTCAAGCATACATTTATCTCCTGGTTCCTGGAACTTTTTCAGTTTTTAAAAGATATTTTCATTTTTTTTTCTTGGGGAAATAATCACGATTTTACAGCATAATTGGATTAAAACAGTGATAACTGTGCGCTTTGTGTGGGACATTTTAGATTTATTTATTGCGGTTATTCAATATGACATTGCTCATTTTGCCACTTTTATGGGAAAATATCTTCAACTGCAGGTGACGAAAGTGAGTTATTTAGTGCTCAAATTTCCTAATTTAGTGGAGATTCATCCTTAAACAATTGAGCGTATTTTATTTACTATTGCCCTTTTTGCCATTTTTACCGCTCACATTCAAATTATTAAAAGAAGCTTTTTATTTGTTTATTGCCTTTTTCTTCATTTCTATTGCAACTTGTTTTTTGTTTAATGGTGCACCCCTGTAGTATTTAGTGGCCAATTTGAGATTTTTTATTGCTTGTGCTTTGTTAATTAGGGTACGTATATATTTTAGTCGTTTTCACTGCCCTAGCTACTAGTTTTGTTATCAACAGGAAAAAATGATATCAAATTAAGTTTTCAGTTTGCTCTCACTGATAGCAGAAATAGTTTTCAATGTGATGTCACAGGAAGATTTGTTTGCTCTCAATTTTGATATTTTAACCGTTAAAACGACCAAAACGACAGCAACCTGAGTAATCATTATCAGCGAAATTTAGATTTCAATTTGATCTCAGACTTTGCTCGGTGTTGTAAGGTACACCGGGGCAAGTTGAAATGAGAGGGGAAGTTGAAATAAGTGGGGAAGTTGAAAAGGAAGGCGGTACACAGAAAAAAAAAGTTGTTGTATATTACATCCAAACTGCTGCAACCAGGTCAATCCATCGGTTGTGTAATATAACGTTGTACGATGTACATCGATTTTGCGAACAAAATTACACCCATTGATGTAATATTGTATCTGCTTTTTGCTATTACATCATTATTTCATACATCAGCTTGAATTACATTGATCGATATTACATTTTTTTTTTGCTGTGTATCTAATAGCGGGAGTGAATAATCACTGTTTTTATTTTTAACCCAGTAGTTTGCGATAGCACGCAATGCATCTCACCATGAAAACAATAAATATTCACTTCCGTTTGACAATACGCTATCCATTTAAACTTCCATACGCATTTATACTTGCCCCGGTGTACCTTATATACAGACTGTATGTAAGGGTACACCGATATGTGACCACTTTTTTCTATAGGTCGATAATGTTTAGATACCGAACAACACTGAAATCCGTACACCTGGCTGAATATGTTTAGTTTTATGAATTAAAATAAAGTGACACACCACTATTTTGCCTGATTTTTTGTCAGTTTTAACTGAAAAAAATGAAGAGTAACCCTCGACTATTATTTCAGATTGTAAAAGGGAAGAGTTGATCAAGAGTTTATTATTTGAATAACGGCTCCGTTAAGCTACTGCAAATGAGCCTGGACAAATAAAGGAAATATTAAAAAAAAAAAATTGTATAGCTCAAAATGATGTGTAAGCGACTATGTTGCGTGACGGTATAACGTTTTGCACTTCTCAACTTCACTACTCAAAAACTACTCACCAAAACGTAACGAGCGACTCAAATAAGAAACTCTTGATCAATTCGTATTAAAAATTTAGCGCACTTTCCAAATCTGCAATAATCTTTAGGGGTTACTTTTCATTTTATTAATTGTAATACAAAATCTTAAAAAAAAACAGAAAAAAACCGTTGTAACGTCACGTAGAGTGTGTCAATTAAAAAATATGTACTGTTGAAAATAATAGCGGGCACCGATCTTCCAGTAAGGCAAATAAAACGCTTAGTTAATATATTTACCACGTGCTACAACACTGTAATATTTATAAAATTAAAATACACATTACAATACTTACAACTTCGGTGTTTTCTCGCATTGGAATAGCCAACAGAGCGATTTGCTCTTCCAATGCGCCCGTGCTGTCGCTTGCTTTCACTGATCTATTGTGACTGTAATCATTGACAGCACGGGCGTGTTCAAGAAAACCCCGAAGAAAGACAAACAAACACACAACAATATCACACATTTCTTCAAGGGGTTCGTCGAGCGGTTGCATGCGCAACATGTACAATTCCTAACTCTTTTGTTTACCTGGATTTTGTTTACGGCAAGAATAAGAGAGAATCCTATGGAATTAAAATAATGTATGTCCGTCGTTATTGTCAATTGGTTGTGTCGTTAGCAATTTACTAAGGCTCTGAACCATTTGGTGGATTATTTTAACTTTTGGTTAAAATTTGACAGATGGAAAGTTATCGATTAACCCTGCTATCCGAGCGTGGTTACTTCTGACAGACAAGAAGTTAAATTTTGACAACCTTGGCTAAGTTCTGCTCGAAAACCGGTCGATCGACAGCACAGGGATTTTCGAACATAGAAAATAACTTTCGAAATGTCACTTTTAACCACGAGTTAAATTTAACTCGGCAAATGGTTCACAGCCTAAGACTCTGAACCATTTGGTGGATTTTTTTTTAGCTTTTCGTTAAAATTTGACAGGTGGAAAGTTATTGATTAACCCTGCTATCCGAGCTTGGTTATTTCTGACAGACAAGAAGTTAAATTTTGACAACTGTCTGTCAGAAATAACCACGCTCGGATAGCAGGGTTAATCAATAAGTTTCCATCTGTCAAATTTTAACCAAAAGTTAAAAAAATCCACCAAATGGTTCAGAGCCTAAGAAAACAGCCTTAATTAAAAACAGCTATAAAGTGCTTTTTAGGATTTTTTTTCAATTTCATTGACAGAGATCTATTGAAAAGTTAAGTGTTAAGTGGACCTAAGTGGTCAATAAAATTGCATTTATTTATCAAAATTATAACTGTACGGATTTTGATTCTATTTTTGCGGTTGATTCTAAATCTGAACACCTATGCAGTGGTTTTAATAATTCACCTTTATAAAACACTACTCTGCATAACATGAAAGTGGATAAAGTCAAATAGACACATGAAGATAGCGGCGCCGGTGGTGTAGTGGTAAGCGTGATTACCTCTCACCCCAGTAGGCCTGGGTTCAATCCCAGTCAGCGCCGTGAGTGAGCCAAAAAATCTCTGATCACGGGGAAGTAAAACCGTTGGTCTCCGGTTCATGAGTTTGATGGGTCGATAGGTAGGGTCCAGGTATGGGAGCTGCCTCCCTGGCGTCGGTAGCATTGGTGCTCAGCACTAAAAACAAGATAGACGGAAAACAAACCAAAGGAAAAAACAAAAAGACACATGAAGATGTTTAGACCGGTTTTGCAATGATGGTCGAAAATCTTTTTGGGAAGTATAGATTGATATTATCATTTCGTACATTATCATAAGAAATTCCATGTTAAATTGGTAATTTTAAAAAAGAGGTGCCCTTCCAGCGTTTACGGTTGAGATGGAAGGTACGATCATGCAGAGGGTGCTTTCGATGGCCGCGGCACGATTTGATGTAGGTGAAAGGTATTAGGTGTGTAAGGTGTGTAATTAAAAATGGCCTCCCCTATCCTTATTCATGTTTTTATCTATACATTGCGAGTCTTTTATCTCAAATCCTCCCCAAAATACAGTGATTTAAAACTGTACGGATTTTGATTCAAGCACAGCTCAGTGTACGGATTTAAAAGCCATACATTTTATAGAAGTATTTCAAATAGTTCTAAGTAATTCTATAATTCAGTAATGTCAAATAATAATAAAACATAGGAAAAACTATAGGAACGAAGTGCGATACAAGGCATATTATTAGATAATCATTTTATTTTTAAAATTAATGATTCTCTTGTGCTTAGGTGTATGGATTTCAGTCCCGCACGGTAATGGGATTTAATATTATATGTTTTTTTCTTTATATTCTACTCACCGAACATGACATCCATTACATCGATCGCGGACTCCTGGTTTCATCCAACTGTCCGATAATACTTTACCTGGTTGATCCGCTACACTCCAAGAAAAGATTCTACCACGCGCATCGCCTGTAAAATGCATATCGTAATATGTTTCATATAGGAGCAAAAAGTGACAGGATAGTTACCGACAAAAACCGTCCGGTGATCTTTGGATATTGCCAAAGAGGTAATGCTTGCAGGTTCCACATTACCCTTTAGATCATATGCAGTGTGCATACTTAATTTGGTACGGAATATCAATTGACGATGCCAACGGAATGATTTCTTTGACTTATGTAAATCCTCTTTACCTGGTTCGCGAATCATCGAGTCGTACTTATCTAGGTGACGATCAATTGATACGGCCTTAACATTCGAGCCAATCTTGCAGGTTGATATTATAGGTGTGTTGTGCGAATCTTCTAGGTTGTTTACAGAAAGTTGATTACTGTCATGTAATGTGTATTGTTCATATATGTTGCTTGTGGAGGATGACCTAACGACAGCTCCTAATAAATTGCACAAAGGTGTGATTATATGAAGAGATGAGTGTCAGCAAACTAGACTCAGTATATTATTTGTATTTCTAATTATGTAACTTATGTTTAGGAGGGATTCATGCAAAACAAAATGACGATTAATAAAAAAATAAGAAAACAAACATTACGTACCGTAATCTACAAATGATGAACTTTCTCCATCCGTGTCTCGAATTTCGTCAGATTCGTTTTCATAAAGATGACTGTCACTACAGCTTTGACGTTCCGTAGGTATTTGTACATGATCTAAAGACCACATCTGCAAACATGACAAGTAACAAAATTGATCAATGAAAGACGACCCAGCCTGCAGCAAAGCTTTTTTCAAAGGGTAGAGAACGGCTTCAGTAGTTAAAATTACAAAATATGTTTATCTGTGTAGATCACCTTTTCGAGGTCCGTTACTGGTATAAGATCTACCACATCGAACTCTGGCCCTAAGCTCGTCTTGTTAACGGTTATGAGTCTCGGCTTTGAGATTGGAAACAAGAAAAGGTTCGAGCTAGGGTTCTACTGCATGGCCACATATCAGAATCATCGTTTTTTGGTCGCTAAGAAGACTTATTTTGATCGGAGAGATGCCACGTATTTGGAGAGATCCCAGATTTTTTTTTTTTTGATCGCAGTAGGCCGAACACAACGAACACTACGGGGTCTGACCACGCCGTTGATAAATGATAACGATAAACTACGGGGTCCTGGATATTTAAGTAGGTTGGCTCCTCCTCCTCTACTGATAGAGTTTCACGCCTCAAGACTCGTGCAGACTAATCACTTTATTTCCCTTTTCGAATAACAATCTTTCACTATACATAGATGTAGGGTAGAGAACTACTTCGGAATAATCGCCCATTTTGGGCTTATCGAGTAGAAAACTTCAAATAAATCCATGATTTCAGAGTTAACAAGTCAATTATGCGTTTGGTACGATAGTTTAGTTAATAAGCTACGGAACGAAATCAATGAGAACGCGTGATATGAAGGTTTGCACCCATTATTCCGAAAAACAAAAGAAGCGCTCCGACCGAATCAGTTTTTATCTTCATCCGATATGCCGAAGTGAATGCATTGGCGTTTCAATGCGTTACGCCGAGTTTAGAATCCGTAGGCCGAGTTTGGAGTCAAGAAGCAGTGTTCAACTTTTGACAATATCTCAACGAATGGTTTCTCTTTATCAAATCTTACGGTACATACGGAAATGTAAATAAATTTGGAAGCCATCAGTAATAATAACATTCCGTTTGGTGCTAATCTGCGCTAGATTAAGAAAGACTAAGTGCGGGTTGTGTTTAATAGGCCGGAAATGGGGTAGTTAACCCTATATCATATTCGTTTTAGGTTTGTCTAGCTTGCTTTACGCTGCAACTTTTGACTTTTGGCAGGTGGGTGATTTCCTTGCGCTCTCTCTCGTTGATCAATTTTCCTTCAGCCCAATTTCGCCTCATCATGGCCCCACCACCTGCTTGGCCTTCCAATCCTGTTGTCAGCGGCATCTGGCTGTGAGTAGCGGAACTTCGTGGTGCGGTTGTGTTATGTCCAGTGGGTGGTGCACGGTGTTGGCACTAATATTTGAATCCTTTCCTGGCATTCATAACATTTGCCAGTTACAATGTTCCGGGTGTGCCAATCAGCAAACTATTCAGCAGCAGCTTTCGATACCTTTAATGAACATGTATATTTTGACGTCATCAGCGCAAAACACACGGCAGCCAGATGGCTAGTACGAGAGAAAGCTCGTTGATGAAGAGTGAGAATAACAAAGGACCCAGGTTGCTCCCTTGTGGCACGCCAGATGAGTTAGAAAATTGTTCCACAGATTCAAATCCGATATTAACGGTTAGGTATGATCCAAACCAGCTAACAAGATCCGCAGAGACACCAGTTCTTCCTAGACGATTCAGTAATATCATAGAGGTAACTCTAAGACCAGAAGGTCCTGAAGAAACGAGCTCAACTTTTTGGCTCAGCTCTAAATAGTACTATCTTCGGTCCCAAGCTAATCGATTCATCCCTCGAAACATATGAAAATCCACTAACCCCTCATTTTATCTGTCAAACTTTCATAGCGAATCAAAACAAACATAGTGTATTACTGGAATTTATACTAGAATGAGATACGTTAATCGATTTGCTAGGCTAGTCAAGTAGTGAGCCAATTTTAAATCGATAGTTTCGTATTGATTGTTGGTAATATTCCATGGTCAACTCTATCGAAAGGTGATTTCAAATCTGCGGTATCGATCTGAGCACCAGCATCAATGTTGCGTATGCAAAACGAAGCAAACTGGACGATATTTGTAGATGTTGATCTTTTGGGAAAGAAACCGTGCTGATCCGTAGAAATGCAATTCTTGCAGGAGTCGACAAGTTTATAATTTATTATGCTTTCGAAAACCTTTGAACAAGAACACACGAAGTTTTTCCTCTGTAATTCTCGATGTTCTATCGAACCTCTTTTTTAAAAACGGGTAACATGACTGACGTTTCCAGTTTGTGAGAAAACTAAAAGGGAAATCAATTCTTCGCCGCATTTTTCCAGGATGCATGACGGTATGCCATCTGGACTGGACACAGAGTATTTCATTTTGTTTATTGCGAATTCCACCTGATTCAACGTGATCGCAAAGCTTCTCAGAGAACAGAAACCATTAGGTGTATCTCTACAAGCTTCTGTGACGTGCAGACGACGTAGAACCATTGAAAGCGATTCTAAAGTGAGTGGCAAACAAATTGCACTTTTCCAAAACGGAAGTGGCGACTTCATTTCCCAGACACATATCAACAGTTAACCCATTTTCCTTCCGTTTAGAGTTGACAAATTTCCAAAAATTTCGTGGACATCTGGGTAGGAAAATTCCTCAGTTCGTATGCAGTACCGTTTGTACATGTAACGTTTATACGTGCGATAATTATTACTAGCACGTGCGAAATGTTGCTTGGCAAAAGGACAACGAGACTGGCAGTAGGTTCGGAGTGATATGGATCTTAGACGTTTGGGACGTCGTAAATGTGTATTTCCCCAAGATGGTTTCGAAGATGGCCTGCACAGTGGAACATAATCAACCAAGTAACTCGTCAACACGCTGGTGAAGTAGCACTTTCACCATCTTCAGCAGTATCAAGGATGTGCCAGTCAGTTTGACGAAGCACTTAATGATAATAATGATGATGGTCCCACCTCTTACCCCTACAAAGGTTTGAGCTGGACGATTTATCTTTAAGATAATTAAATATGACATTTGAACCAGGTTAGCAAACAAAATCGAACTGGTTTCAGTTAAAGATATAAATTCCCTCTACAGTTTACAGTTGCTTCACAGCGATATAAATGTGGAAAAGCTCAGGCGTCCTTAAAGGTGGTTCGCTTTTTTGCCCACCTAAAATATTTATAAGTATTACAAGCAATCAAGAGTTAATTAACAATCAACAAAGCATCCTATTACACAGCAACCCCGCAATCTGATGCTATCATAATTTTTAGCAATGTCAAGAATGCTAACGAACCCCCAACATTTGCCAGAAATCTTACTACTAACTCAAGGTATCTTCCAAATAATACGCGCGCGAGGCTCAAACCTTTGTAGACTATCTTTTTTAATGAACCTACTATTATTAAATCAAATATTAAAAATCCATATCCATCATCACCATCGTGGCGAACAGAAATAGTTTTTGCAGTGCTACAATAATTATTAAAAAAGTCGTTATTACAGCTATCCATACAACATAATCAGTTAGAGATAACTTCGTCAAGATACATAATTTGTCAATTCATAAAAAAATCACTGGATAACTGTTCAAAAGACAGTTTTAACGTGTGAAATGTAGTGTCTTTTAAATTGTGTAAGTGTTCCTGAACGTTTGATATGTCTAGGCAATGAAATGTGGTGTTCTTGTTTCAACCGCATTTCTAGTATTATATCTATGAAAGTCACTTCCTCTTTCAACCGCATCAAACCGTTAAATACTTTAAAAATGAACACCATAGTCAAATATACAATTCTTTGCTTCACCGACAACCATTGTAAGACGTCTAGCATCAAAGTTGAGGAAGTGAATCTATTACATCTCAAAATCAAACGCATTATTTTATTCTGCAAGCGCTGCAATCTCGATATTTGTGTTGCATTGGCCAGAAATAAAATGGAAGGGAAAAAGTCTAGATGAGGAGAGATGACTGATTTGTATAGCTGTATTTTACTGGCAATAGTTAAATCGTTTTTCAGTCGACATAGAATTCCTGTTGGATGGCCGATCGCCTTGCCTAGGGTGCGTCGTTGATGTTCGCGTCCCTCTTCCGGCGTACTCCGGGAACTTTGAAGCTGACGGTGGGGTCAGAAATGGCCATGGATGGTTCGGTGTGGTGTGTTGGATGTATATCGGCACTGCCACGAATCTACATTCGGAAATAACCATTGCACCACGCACGCGTAAGCACGAAATTACACCATGAAAATTGCATGTTCAATTTTACCTGCTTATGCACCAAAGCACAACACAATAACACACGACCTGAGAGAATAGCACACACTCTCACTTCTACGCTACGAAAGGATTTTTGTTAAATAAAGTTACACTAATCTTAACAGGTATCATGTCCTTGGCATAGTACTACTTCAGGACAACATTTGAATAGTGGCACGAAGCTAGATCCGGCCAGAAGACCGTAGGGCCCTCGTGTTGCTTCAACAGAGGAAGCAGACTCTTCTGTAGACACTCCTTGAGGTAGATCTCCCCGTTTACAGTCCCGGTAGTCACGAACGGCACACGTTTGCCACAAGAGTAGATCGCTTGCAAACTTTGAAAGTTTCTGCTTCCTTACTTCCTCCGGAACATCAAACTTGTGGTGGGGGTGAATAACAGTAGCCCCGATGAGGAAAAGAGGCTTCGTCAGCATCTGGGTGTACAGTTTCCGGGCCCGTGACTTTCCCACCGTAATTTGCCGTTCGTCACAATTTGGAGCCTTCTGCACTTTGTACGTATGCAGTCCCTCCCGGTCCTTGGCTTTCTGAACGAAAGACTTGGACAGATTCAACTTTTTGACCACATCCCTGACCAAGGCATTGGGATTCCGGTTAAACACTCTCACAACAGGCTTGTGATCCTGATCACTAATAGAACATCCATTCTGATCGCATTTCTCCTTCCGTTCGATGCTCAGAGTTTCGTAGTAATGTTTAATCACACGACTCACCGTTGACTGTGGAATGGTATCGAGCTAAGCATTGAAGCTGAGAATTTGGGTGAGTGTATGATGAA